GAAGAAGAAGATAGCTTCGGGAGAGAAAGGAGAGAAGCTGGGCGAATGGGGAGAAGAGAGAGAAGCTTCTGGCCAATCAGAGAAGGGGAAAGGAGGAAAGGAGAGAGGGCGAAAAGCGGAGGAAGAAGAACAGAAATGGGTTTTCAACCCATGACCCGCGCGACCCGGTGGGTTTTCCACCCATTTCCGTCGAAATTTCTTCACTTTTCCGGTGAGTTACTTCAAACCATCACTTGGAAAACCCTCTATGATCTTCCCTCTTCCTATTACACCCCAAAAATCAAGGAATTTTGCCTTGAAATTGGTTGAAACCGTACGGTGTGTGCGGTGGCTTAGTGTACAAATTCTTCAAATCTTGAAACGTTTTCTTTCAATTACTAACACCATTAGCTTTCCCTTAGGACCTGGAACAAAGCCCAAGTAGTAGTTGGAGCATCGGAGTGGTTTTGGAGGTCGAATTGAAAACACCCATTTCTAGGGTTCTTCACGGATTTTGGTGAAATTGAAGTGTTTCCAGGCCGAATTGGCCTTGGCCTCAGGTATAAAGTTTACTCTACTCATTGAGATCTTCAATTCTGTATTTGTTGAGAATTTTTTGAAATAGTTGGATTTTCCGGCGAGCTGGGGCGGCCCGTGCGGCGGTGCGTGGCCAATGGCCCGCCAATGTCATTCTTAGCATTTGTTTAAGGTTCTAAGTTCAGTTTTGATAATTGATGGATGTAAATTGAGTAATTGAACCTAAGTTCGTTTCGATTCGTGGTTAGGTGAAAATGTGAATTGACGATCTAACCGTTGGATCGTCACCAAACTTTGATACGTTGTAATACGTAATATTTGAGGATTATAGGAACTTACAGATCGGGAATCCGATTTACAGATTTTTCGGAATTGGAGTTATAAGTTCATAAAATAGAATGTTAACCGTCACTTGGTTTTGGAAATTGACGGAGATTCGACCGTTGGATGGTAATGAAATTTTAGGATGATGTCCTAGAGGTATATTGTGGACCTCTGGAAGTTATGGATTTGAAATCTGAGTTGCAGATCTTCCGGATCGAACTACGTAGTGACGTGCTTTATATAAGTTATATATTCTATCGATATGATTTCTGAGGTTGGATTTGATTATTGTTCTAGGCGCCGATCGTCATGACACCTTGATGTGTGGTGCTAGGGAGTTGTTGGGCGAACTCCAGGTGAGTGGGCAGTATTTCTGTTTATACCTATATACTATTGATATTTTTCCCAGAAATTGAATTTAAATGAAAGTACGTTTTAAAATGCCATGCATGCATATTATGAGATATATGAATTGATAATTGATGCATATATATATATATATATGTGAATTGGTGCTATGGACGCACAGGTGAGTATCAGGTGAGTTTTATGTTATTCATGTGAATCATTGATGATGTGAATTGTGTTGAGAGCTCATAACCTGCACCCCTGGTGTTAGTGCTTATATTATTCACCGCACCGCACGCTCACCTTGGATCCAAGTAGGTGCATGTCGTACAGACCGATAGAGGGTTCCAACATGCTAGTCGTACAGACCACTAGAGGTGGTTCCGACTGGTAGGTGACCTTAGATTATGTGCACAGATGATTGATGAGAGAAGCACTAAAGCGTATTATTACACCATTCTTGTCGTACAGACTACTTCAGGTAGTTCCGACTTATGTGCAGAGTAGCGCCGTACAGGTCACCGTGGTGACTCTGGTTGGATTGGATATTGAGCTATAGAATTAACCGTACAGGACCAACTGCAGGGTCTCCGATTGATTCCTTATTTCACCTGTTATATTGATACATCCATATTCTGTTTTTGATATTATGACTTGGCATACTTTCTGGTTTTGATAAAGATTGATGATTTGAGATATTTGAAAGTATATGCTATTATGTTATTTTCTGGGAAAGTATACAGGTTACAGAGAGGGGTTAGAAATGTTTTAAATGAAATGTTTTCGAAAAACTTTGTTTTACTGACCCACTCAATTTTGTTTTGCGCCCCTCCAGGGTCTAAATAGCAGAGCTTTGGTGGCCACGAGGAATCCAGCGGTGTTATGACAGAATTCACAAAAGTAGGACTCACCCTCGGGTGTTTCATCTCAGTAATTGTATTTTTTTAAAGCTTCCAAACTGTGTAAATGGTTACGTCACTCTCACGTGACGGCCAGCATGCCCTCCTTCGGGACGGGGTGTGTCAAAAGCAGTTTCTGAGATATGGCTTAAAATTTTCGGGCTTAAATTTTTAAGTTTTATCCCCAAGGGTTGGAGATGGTCTTATGGAGGCAAGTGGCGAAAAAATTTTATATATATATATTTATATATTAATTTTTTAAGGAAAATTATGGATTTGTGTGTGAGGGTTACCATATATAGCTAGAGTTAGGATATGGTCCGGCTTAGTATATCCGCGATGGGGGACCATATGTATTTCAGGGGTGATCATGCTTAGTATATTCGCGATGGGTGATCACTGCCTACCTAGGGTTAAGAGGATTAGTTATACTTGGTACGTTTCGATAGGCGACCATATTTTAGTTAGATTCCATTGAGTGGTCCAGAATCATATTCTATTTGAGATTCTATTGAGTTAGTTTGAAGCTAGATTTTCAGAAATCTTTATTGTTCCTCTGAGTCACTCTAGCACTAATTCTCTACATGTTTATTAATGAAATATTTGAGAACCTTTGTGTTTTAAATTAGAAAGGCCGATGAACGTCTAGGTGACTCATTCATGATTTCTGGCTAAATTATTTATCAGTTTATCAATTATGGTTTATGATTGATTTATATTTTGTTGATAAATATGGTTAAAGGTCAATATCATGCATCGTTGGTTCATTGAAATATTGTATGTTATCGTTGTGGAATTGTGCTAGAAAATGTTTTGATATATGTAAATGAAAAACCTTGGTTGATATATGGGTTCGTTATATAGTCTGGAATCGAGTGAGCATGCCTGTTGAATTCCTTTGAGTAATTCTGGAGCTAAATGATTTTATGCTAGATAGTACTATTAGAAATCTCGGAGTTTAATGAATGGTGAACTACTAAGGGCTTAATCCATTTTGAGGGTATGTAGGCAGTCTAACGAGAAGATTAGATGCAGCCATAAAGTATATGAAAATTACCATGCAATTGGACCTTGAGTGGTGTTTTGTCCATGTCTTGGAGGCGGGGCATGATAGATGTACAGGTACATGGTGACGTCACGTGTCGATCCTGAACATATGTCGGGTTCAGGGCGTGACAATACAAACAAGTTTGACGGTTGGATCATTGAAATTAGCTTCGTAGATTGCCTATCTTGTCAAAACAATAGATTCAACAAACACTTAGAGTTTATTCTATACTTCCATTAAGTAGAACGTAAGATTTTATGGTAGTCACTAGTGTAAATATTTAAACTGATGATTGGGTTCCTTCATTGTTTCCTTCTAGGATCAAGAAGTGTAATTGTAAAAAATCATCAAAATTAGAGCTTAAATAACCTTTAAATCCTGATTTTCTGTTTCTAATCATCAAAGGGTTTCGTCCCGTTACCTAATCCTCCAAAATTTGTTTTAGTATTTTTGGGGTATGTGGTTTCAGAGTATATACAAATAAGTTTGACCATTGAATTATTAAAATTAATTTTGCAAACTGCGAAAATCATCGAAGGAGTTGAATATACCAAAATATATGTAACCTTTGCATGACGAAATAGTATATTTTGCCCTGCGGAATGTAAACCCTAAAACCTAAACCACAAATCATAAATACTTATGTGCGACAAACCCTGAATTGTTCGTCGAGCAAAGGATGCCATATCACGTGCCAATTTTTTCCCTTGGCGCGAAAACTTCACGCAACGAAGGACCCTTTGCCCATCAAACGGCATTCATCGGGCCAAGGCCTCTGAAGAAACCAAAACGTTAACCATTTTTGTCCGACGAACGTTTGTATTTCGTTGGGTAAAGTCTGATTGCCCGACCAATTCCCATTCGTTGGGCAAAATTTCATCGGGCAAATGGTAGTATCTAGTTGTGATCGATGTATATATATGTTTTTGGTAATCGATCACGAAGGACAGCAGGCATGCATCTACAGTAATCTAGGGTTTTCGAATTCTGGTTTCTTTACTACTGGAAAACCGATAAGAGCCTGCAGTTCTTTTGAACTATTTTTCCTTCCTGATTGATTGTTGTAAAATGTATAATGCCTATTTTGAATTTCGATTATAGATTAGCAAAAATCCTTTTAAGGGTCCAAAGGTCATCGTTCTTTGACTTCTTGGAGGACAAAAAAGAAAGGATTTTACCTCGTAACTATGTCAAAAATACTCAAAACCATTAGGAATGTGGCTGCCAATTTGCAACACGATCCAAACACATGCTTCGGGAAAGCAGGTTATGATGATACAACAATTTCGACTTCTTTTACACTGGATTTTAGAAGAAAGTGCCTTGGTCCCCTTGGACGATATCAGACCTTTTTCCTTATTTTGAACCATGACCAAATTAATCAGACCGTGGTTATACGCTCTTTAGCAATAGCTACTCCTATAAACAGTCATGCTTACTCTCATTGTTGTCGCTTTTACTTGCAGTGACATCTCTCACACAAGGGAGATTCTATTTGAATAAGTACTGAACTCTACATGAATTGTGAGAGATGACAACGTAACTATGGCACAAATTGGCCAGCGCAGTTAATCCTGTCATAATGGCGATATAGGCAGAAAATTTCAAAAGGCAACGGTAAAAATAAATGTTGCTTGCTATGCACGTAAAAACACCACAAGATTCAGGAGACAGAAAACCATCTATGTGAATGTAATGATGTCATGGATATTCTTGTTCCTTGAGTACCTTAATATATAAGAATAAAGAATATCTTTCAAAGTCACCCAAAAAAAAAAAAAGGAGGAAGGGAATCCTATCTTCCCTAAAGAAAACACGAACAAAATTGAAAAAAAACTGTTGCTAAGAGAAAAATCAATTGAGAGTTATAGACCAATTTCCACAATGCAAGGATCCGTCGGCTGACCCTTGATGATCATATCACCAAACTTGATATTACCCGTGCACAGCACGTTCAAGTGATAATTGCCCGAAATCCAAGTGCCCACCTTCCACATCACCTTCCCGTCAAGCTTGATTTTTATCATCACCGTCCCAGCATTCAGATCTTGTGCAAAGGCCTCCCCGGACAATGGAGATATCGGCACGCTATCGCCATTCAAAAGCGGCGACCACACCACAGGCTCTTTGTGCCCTTGGTACGTTCCAGGCAAGAGAGATGCCAACGTGATCTGCTGGTCTCGGTACACGGCGTAGATGTCCATGCCGGATTGGTACGCTATGCCAACCCTAGAATTAGGGTTTGTAGAGGAGAGTGTCACCTACAAGAGCGAAGCCAAAAGTTTGAGCTTATACAAGATGAAGAAAGAATTATTTTATAAATTTAAGAAGAGTAATATTATTTGAACACGTAAAACTGACACACTTACTGAAAATAGAGTTATATATATAACTCACCTGCATCTTGGTGGTGAGAGCGAAGGGTGGTGCGGTGGAAGAGTTGAAGTTGTAAACAGTCATGTCTTGGAGAATGAAGCTTGGCCGGCAGGGCCTGAGAATGAGGTAAACAAGCAAGACTACAACGGCGAAGAGGACAACAAAGATGCCAGTTCCCCAAGCGAGGTAGATGTAGAGCTGGCGGCGGCTGCCACTGCTGTCGCTCGCGGTGATTGTTTCACTCATGCTGGGAAGTTGGTTCCTGGGTGGTGAAGGGAGTGAAGGAAGTGAAGGGACGGATATGATTTCTAGCTGAAGGAAGAAGTTGAAGTTGCACTAAACGTATGCACACGTACGGACTTCTGTGAGATAATTTACCAAGAGGGAGTTTGATAAAGGGGCTAGTTTGCAATATATATAGAAATACAAAGTTAGAGTGAGGACAAAATATATTTTGAGCAGTACTAAAAAATAATTAATATTTTTACCAAAAAAAAGAAAATAATTAAATAATTTGATCACCGCGAAAAGTTTGGATGGAATCCCATGCACTAATGGTGGTATAATCGCTTAAATATTTACACTGTAATGAATCTAATGATTATATAAGGGAAGAAAAAATATCTGATGGCCAAACTAATCTTATTCCTGTATTAATAAAAATTATAATTCCATGTATTCGGATGATAAATGTGAAGAATGCAAGAGTGGAATAAAAGTGGAAGTATACTATGAACTTGTTTGGATGTGTTTTTAAAATGATTGAAAGCACTTTTAGAGAAAATGTTCTTGGATTCCAAAAGCACTTTAAGTGCTTTCTACAAGAAGTATAAGTTATGTGCTTTTCCAAGATTTACTAACATTTTTACTAAGGATTGTTTCCAAAAATCTTTTCACTAGAAACGCTTTAAGTCATTTTAAAAGCATATCCAAACGAATATCTACTTAACGTATATATGTGGATGGATGTAAATATTTTAAAATATAAGTACGTACGTATGTGTAACTTGTATTAGTTTTAGTCGAAAAAATTATGAATTAACATAATTAAATAATTTAAAAAACAACCTATGTATTGATTCCTTACTAAGAAAATAAAAGCTAATTGATCTTCTTTTCTCCGTGCCATATATGTTTCTCTCTCGTGCGATTATGCATGCCAATCGTTATACATCAAATTAATTAAACAACACTTTACGATAATAACAAATTTATAAAGGTCACTAACCAGATTTCAGATCATCTCCATGTCGTTGAGCAATGGTTTGATGGATCAAGCTTTGTGGGAATACGCAGATGTATAGGAACGCTCTCAAACTAAATAGTAAACCTAATTGTACAACTTAGGTAAATTTATTGCTTTGTCAACTTTTATTACGTACGAAATTTATTTGGCCTTAGATATTGTTAACGCGTGGAAACAAATAAAAAAAAAGATACCCTAAAAAATAAAAGAAAAATCAACACCGTATATAAGAAGTAATACCTTCCTTGGTACAAAAACATTTAATTGTGGACATATAAATTATTGATATGATCTACAAGATCCATATTTGCTTACTTTTTTTGTTGCAAAAGAGTTGGATGCGTTTTAATTGGAGTTTATTTTCACAATTCTTCCCTTTTTGGAGTTGGATTCTCTTATATATAAACAAGTATCTTACTACCATTAAGAATAACGTCACGCAATTTTGACCATATTATCATTATATTTCTTTTTTTTTTTTTGGTCAACACCGTAGTTCATTGTGGTACACTATGTACCTATTAAGGAAATTACTGTTCTAAATCCCACATATATAGGAGATGAAAATTTGGAGATGTAGAATCCCTCAGATTACCCTCTTGCCACATAGTACGGTCTAGTGATATTCCTCTTCACTTATCTTAGGTTCAATTCAATCACATTATTACTAGCTCATTGTGAGGCTAAGCCTATCCCCTCCTCCTTACCTAAGATCATATCATTTGTTCAAAATAAATAAATAAACATAGAGTACCCTCTTTGAAGTTTGTACATCTTCTATTAAGATGTATGTAAAATTGCTATTGTTTTTCATAAAAAAAATACGTCATATAATTACACTAAATTCATCTAAACAATAAGAAGGGGGATACGAATGTGGGTGTAGAGGGCGTTGACACTGCTCTAGCTAACTTGGCAAAATTAAGGTCGGCCATAATATAAGAAAATAGATATAGTTGTATCAATTTTTATATGTAAGTTAAAACAGTGAGATGTCTTACGTTCGAATCTTGTAGATAGCGAATTCGATACCAAATTAGGTTACCTATTATGTGACTTAGCCGAACTTCCTATCTCCTTTGTGTAAACTATATCGTTATACTAAAAAAAATAAAAAAATAAAAAAACCAGTGGGGGTGTTCCCTAAAGTCCCGTTGGGTTTGGGTGGTTATTGGAACACTTCTCTGTTGGATTTGCAATTGAAAGACGTACTGGCGCAGCGTAAGAAAGATAAAGGGTATCAAACAATAACCTTAGCACATAAGATGCTTGGAATCTGCTAGAGAATGATAAATCTCTAAGTTTAGTTTATTTTTCTTGAGTTGAACGATAGCTTTATTGAAGCAATTAAACAATAACAACCATCAAATAGGGCATCCTAAATAAAGTCCAAGGGATCACTTAATAAACAAAAAATTCTTCCACTTAAAATAAGGCCATCCTATTAAACGATGAAATTTGGACCAAAAATTCTATTATCGTAGCTAAGTTGGGAGTTAGACACATGACGTCATTCTTCTAGAAACAACAAGTTTGTCACAAAACAAATGCCAAAGTCTAAATCTGCGCAAATCATGGATTTTGCGGTTCTCAATTTAATCTTCAATTCAATCGTCATTTAATCTACACTGCTACACTCTTATAACGTGTTTATTGAATCGTAATAGAAGTAGGAGGTATTCAATAGAAGAGTTAGATGAGGAGAAGATAATCAGATTCTATTTGAAGAAGTTATATTGAGTGATATTCTCATAATTTCATGTTTTAGATAGATTCTATTCTTTACAGAAAAGAAATAAAATTACACGTGACAAACTGCAAAGTAGGGGAAAGCATTTGCAAAAGATGACCACTTCTTCGGTCGAGGGAAAGATTCAAAGACGGAAATTCCCAAATGGGAAAAGAGTGGAAAATGAAATGATCAGAAGAAAGTAAAGAATATAACTTGCAGGTTTATCATCAAAAGCAAGATTCTGAAAATTTTCTGCATTTCTGGCTAGGTAATGTTAGGAGACCATTTATTTGAATCATATTTTGTAAAGCATATAACGTAATTGTTGATGATTAGATTATTACTTAAGCGTTTGATTGACGTGTTTATTTTCTATTTGTGAATTTTCAAACGTAACATTCAATACTACGTGCTCAATGCTACATACTATTGAAAATATAGTGTTTAATTTTCACAACAATTAAATCTTATATGCACTATTCTAAAAATCCATGTATAGCCACCGTCCCGATTAGGGCTGGAAAAAAATCCCAAAAATCCCAAACCAAACCAAAAATTCCAATCCCAAACCAAAAAAATCCCAAACCAAAATTCCCGAACTTTTCGGTCTTTCATCCCGAACCAAACCGAAATTTTCGGTATGGGATTCGGTTTTGCATGTCCATATTTTCGGTATTCCCATACCGAACCAAAATTAAATATTATATATATATATATAATTGTTTAATTATAAGAGAATTATTTTAACCGTTCATTGTTTTGGATTTAATCTATACCGTTCATTTGTTTTTAGGTCAGCTCCCATTTCACTTCCCTTGTCCGTTCCATTGAAACTCGAAGCGCAGCCCTCATCTCATCTCACCGAGCCTCCCTCACCGAGCCCTCATCTCATCTGTCTCTGTCGAATTCCGGCCAACCATCGGCCCACCACCACACCATACCCACCTCGCGAAAGGCTATTTAGTCTTGGGATTGTCTGCGGAAGCCACACTAACTTAAGCCTAAGGTGAGACGTCAGGAATGGTGGGTTTGGAATTTCAGTGGGTTTAGTTGAATCTTTGTTCAAAGTTTTAATTTTTACTAACCAAGTTTGTGAATTTTGAAAATATATTGCATTGCGGTCGGGGTTATGGTTTGCAATACCTTTTCCAGATCGTATTTACCAGGTGAGTTTGTTTATCATCTTCTTTAATGGTGATTAGTGTTGTTAATTAGTATTCTGGAGTTTTATTGATGCATAAATTGTTGTTATATATAGGTGTTAAAGGCAGATCATTCACATGAAGGAAGAGGAAAAGCGGTTGTTAAGGTGTGTTTCTGACGTTGTCGCTATTAGAATGTTGCTCATAAGCTGTGATTGTAATTTATGTTTTTTTTTTGTCACCAAGCTGATATCTTAAGCTGTGTTTTCGTTGCAGGTGGAGGTTCGTGATGTTGACTCTGGGAACAAGACATCCTTACGATTGTTGACGGATGAGCAAATTGATAGTACGAAACTTTAACTTTGTAACTTCCTATTACTAGTAGGATTCTTTGGTTGTCGTATAACCTTAGTTTCTTAGATATTTATTTGTTCTTTTTAACTGTTTTGTGCCGTTCTTAATGTCTACTTTGATAATATCAACGCAAACATGCTGGGTTGTCACTGTATTTCCAGTTGGCTGGGTTCCTTTAAACTTAATCATGCGCCATTTTTTGAGCTATTATAAATGTGGTGCTTAGGTTAAGATGATAAATCTCATATCAATTGCTGCAGAAGTATTTGTTGAATCAAAAACTTACGTTTACATGTGCACAGATCGTGATGGCATTGTAGTATTGATAGAGTGAGTTTTATATAATATTAAAATTTTCTTCTAGATTCACTTTCAGTTCACTTTCTTCTGTTACTTTCCCTTAAATAATGTGTACTATTTGTAATTCTTATCAGCCCTGTTACTTTCTTCTGTTGAACCTGCTGATGCTCGAAATTATTTCGGGATTCCCGAAATGTCCCGAAATCCCGAAACTATTTCGGGATTCCCGAAAATTGGGATTCCCGAAAATTTGGTTTGGGATCGGTATTGAAATTGGAATTCTCGAAAATTTCGGTATGAGAATCGGAACAAGGGTTTCGGTATGGGATCCCATACCGAACCACCCCTAGTCCCGATTGGTCTTTAGGCATTTGAAAGTTAAGAAAGTGCGTCTAGACCTGCTTAAGAGTCCGCTTAGCCCACCTAAACCTGCCTAGGTCACAACTTTCACTTAAATATAAAATCAATAACTTTCATTTTACATTCTAATTTTTCAATAAAATGTAAGTGATTTATTGAAAACTTAGATGAAGTCATTATATGCTTGTTTCCCACATTTTCAACATGTTCTTATACTTCAAAATTTATATGTGATTTTATTTTACAATTTATGTATCCCAATATAATTATTTATGTTTCTTAAAAATAAATAGACGTATATTTATACGATATATAATAAATTTACTTAAATCCGTCTAATTTCCGACTAGACCCCGCCTCACCGCCTAAGCCGACTAGCGCATAGCGTCGTCTAAAACCTTGCGTATTTCGTTCACAGTCATTCATTTACCGTTCTATTCGTTCATCCTACTATTGAAAAGAAATTGCAAATTATTGTTTGACCAAAGTTATACGTCAACCAGTAATCCAGCTTAAGTTGAATTTGGGCCATCTCCAGAAGAAGCGAGAGAATGCTGGATATTTCCTTGAAGTTGCGAGAAAATGTTGGAAGTGAACTCGTTAAAATCTACTCTCTGTCATCAATTGAACGCACGATATGAGGAATAGAAAATCACACAAAGATGACGACAGTGGCTTTGTAGTGCATGCAAAGCGTAACGAACAACATTCGATGAATAAAGTAGTAGGAGATGCTTCAGGGAAGATTTCCCCGGTGTGGTAGTTGGTATCCCCTTAACCCCGCTTACATATATGTAAAGCCCCCCACCACAACAACTTTGTGAAATGCTACGACAACATTAATCAACCAGGTGCCGCAATCAAACCAGCTCTGCAGTCTAACAACTTCCAAAGTTTGAGACAAGTCGACAACAACCATTCTCTCAACAGTCGGGCAAGACATAGTAATTGAAGGGAGATAAGCTCAGTTCCGCGTGATAAGCAAAAACAACAAAAGAATTCAAGTTAAAACATATACAGCGGCTCAACCTAAACTCATATACTCGTATTACTAATCATACAACTCCACATTTCTAGACAATTCCAAAGACTTTAATCTCAAAAACGTGAGAGATAGAAATACCATTATCACCAATCGCAGTCCTCCGTTTTCAAACACCAACCTGGCAACCTCTTGATCCACCAGCCAGCTTACCCGACCCGCTATTGGAAGAGACCGAAACCGCCACACCACGGCACAAAACCCTCAGCAGCCGCCGCCTCAGCCTCCACCCGCCATTCCGAAACTGGACCCTCGCCAAAACCTTCACGTTAAAGCTCACGGTCCCGCGTCCCCTGTCCACCTCTATCGCGCGAACCACCGAGGCGTCCACGAACGAATTCACCGCCGACAAAGTGGCGTTGACGAAATTGCGATCCTTCCTCCCCTGAGCGAACGGCTGAACACGAGTCTCCGATATGAAGCCGTTCCGGTAGAAAATGGAAGAAACGACCTCCTCGTATCGGATGCTGAGCTTCTTGTTGGGGTTGTAGACGGAGAAGCCGACGGACCACGTGCCGCTCAGGGACTGGGAGGAGGAGGAGACGTTGAAGTTGGTGAGTGAGAGAGAGTCGAGTCGGAAGTCGGGGACCTTGGGGCGGAGGACGAGCCAAATCACAAGCATGATGCAGCCGACGATGACGAAGAGGGCGATCATGGCGCCGACGAAGCGGCGGATGAAGGTGGCGCGTGCGGCATAGGCGTTGGAGTAGGGACCTTGACGTTGGGTGTAGGTGGGGTAGCTGGAGTAGGGGTGGCCGCCGTTAGGCTGGGCGTAGGGCGTGGCTGGGTAGCCGGTGACGGGCCTAGAAGGGTCGGTCATTAGGGTTGAAGATTTGTGGGGGATTTGGGATTGTGGGGGTTTATCACTTGTACTGTATATCAATTTTGTGGGGAAGAGAACGGAACGGATTCCTGTTTATAAAGTATAGTAATTTGGTTAAGTAAAGAATATGAGATTATTCGAGAACAAAGCTTGACACATGTCCACTTCTGCTAAATAGCCGATGTGGCTGCTCAGCTGTTTGACACCTATCCACTTTTTTTTTCTTTTCTGAAAAATTATGCAATAAACAAGAAAACAATATTAAAAACGATAATGCTAAAGAGACCTTCTTTTTTTTTTTTGAAAAAGAGTACAATATATCATTCCATGATTTGAAGAACTCGGCTCCAAAAAAGCCCTTGCAAATTAGATCTAAAAAAATAATACAATAAAGCATCACTAATCGCAAAGCAATGAGTAGACTTCAAGCACCTGTCCAAGCTCATTAGGAACCACACGATTACACTGATCAATAAAATTGTTAACCTTAGTGTTGCAGAAAGACCATGTGAGAACAAAATCTCAAACCATAAATTGGGATAGGGAGTACGATGCCTATGAGTTTATCGCATCACCTAATCACTACCACGATCCTAGAACACCAAATGAGTAGTAGATCCAGCAAATTAAACAGCTCAATACTTCACACATATATCCAAAAGAGGTAGCACATCAAAACGAAAAAAATTAAAATCAAGCACTCTCCTATAGAGAGCAATCAAATTAGCAAACTTTCCTATAGAGAAATCAACCAAACTTCAAGATAATTCTTGGAAATTATTAAACAGAAACAAAATAAAAGGAAAATCATGTCGCCACTCCACATCCTCTGGACATCCGAAAGCCATATCACCTACATCGGCTAAACCAAAAGTGTCGTACTGACCCGACGCAATTCGTCATCTTCAATGGCTTCCTGCTTCAACCTAATATCAAATGTGATAACTGGATTCAAAACCTTGAGTTAACTGTATTCGTGGGTCAAAGGACGACGACTATATCGGTGACTATAACGTTTCACATTACACCAAATAAAGTAAACAAAAAGTGAGAGGGAAGAGACTAAGAATGAATCTCAAGAAGATTGCCTCTAACTACAAAGCCAAAGGCAGAAGCCGACGACAAAGAATTTTTCCTTTGGTTTTTAAACGAAATTTGCAAACCAAATGATGTGTCATCAATAAGAGATAATCACATTAACCGACATTTAATTAAAATTCCAATTATCGACAACCACATCATTTGATTTAAAAAATTTGGTCTCCATAACATTACCCTATTAAAAATAATTGTGTAAAATAGTAGAATAACTATTTTACAAAGCTTGGCTATGCCAACCCCGTTCAATTTGTCTAGTCATTTTCTCTTTTATTCTCTGTTTCCTCTCTTCTCTTCACAGATGCCGACTCCAAACAAAAGAAAAGCCAAGGGAACCTAATCCGAATACCCAAGGGTTTTAGAAACTGCCAACGATATCTTCTTCTTTACCCAAAAACCCTAGCCATTTGAATGTGGTCTCTTAAATCCTAATTCCAATTTCAATACTTCTTCTTCTTCTTCACTAGTAAAGGAGAAAGGGAATGGGTCATGGTTGCTCTGGCTCACGCCCTGCTCAGCATTTCATTTTGCTGTGGTCTTTGTCGGTCTGTTAATCCCAAGGACAATTACAAACTCTGTGTTTGGGGTTTTCCAGAGCAATTACTCTCTCATCGTCGTCCACAATGCTATGGCTTGCACCGCCATCGAAATCCCCGTTACCTCTCTTTTCTCTGGAAAATCTATAGGGATCGGCAAGCCTTTCTAGAAAGGTTATTCTAGTCTTTGACATGCTTATTTTTTATATTGCATAATTTTTTGAAAATGAATGAACATGTGTCAAACTGCTGAGAAGCCAGATTAGTTATTTAGCAGAATTTCCTGCTAACTGTTCAGCATCCAAGCTTTGTTCATTATTAGTAGGGCAATTAGGTTTTGAAATTTTTAATAACGAGTCATAAAAAACAGACATAACAATCACACAATAACGACAATGAGTCATCAATATGATCAATTACTAAATACTAATCATTTCTGTAATCAAATCTCAAAAACTGATCATTCCTACCAATTATCCTAAAATATATTCTTTTTTGTCCGAGTCATCAATATGATCAATATGTAGTTGCTAAAACTAATAATTTATGCAAACAAATCTCAAAAACTGATCATTCATACTAATTACCCTAAATTATGTTCCTTTTTATCTAAGTGTCAATAACATCTTCATCTTCTATTATTTTTTCATAACTACGCCTAAATCGTGGAATGTCGTAGATTTTTCAATAATTTAGCGAAAAAAAAGGACTTCAAAAAGGAAAAACTTCAATTAGGGCATCCTAGATTAAATCCGAAGGTTCTCAAACAAAAATGACTCAAAAAATAAATATATATAAAAAAAAACACGATCAACTTGGTCAATCTAATGGATGTCATATCAACGGATCTTTGGTTGTGAATAGCATGAGAACACATCTAGGACTCCAAAACCAAAAGAACTTCAACTTTGGCAACCAAAAATTCAGTTACTTCATAATCCGCTTCATGGGAGACTACGCACAAATCGTCAACAAAACTAATAAGAGAACAATCTTTACAAACGAGCAGCCCCGACTCCCAAGAGAAACTATAAAAGAAACAAATAATGACAACTACAAAAGGCTATGCGGTCATGAAAACCACCAACGAAGCTACTAGTTCATCATAATAAATGGCAACAACACCACCATGAGACATGAACAAAAGACGAAAGCTCTAAGGGCTAACCGAACACAGACAAGAGCCGCACTATAATCTACAATACCCACCTAACAAAAATTCAACCTCATATTTTGCCAAACCTCATATGGTGCCAGAAATGTAGAGAAATGTCTAAGAAAAATACACGAGAAGTTATTTATAGGAGGAGATTTAAATGGACACGTGGGCAGGGAGACAAGCAACTATGGAGGTTTTCATGGTGGCCATGGTTTTGGGGAGAGAAACGAGGATGGGGAAGCTATCTTGGATTTTGCAATGGCATATGATCTCTTCTTAGCCAACACCTTCTTTAAGAAGAGAGAAGAACATGTGATCACCTACAAGAGTGGGTCGTCAAAAACACAAATAGATTTTCTTCTAATGAGGAAAGGGGATCGTATAACTTGTAAGGATTGCAAAGTTACCGGGAGAGAGCTTGGCTAATCAACATCGCTTGTTGGTGATGGATGTACATATCAAAAGAGTGAGAAAAAAGAACAAGACTTGGAAGTGCCCAAGGACTAGATGGTGGAATCTAAAAGGAGAAAAACAAGCCATTTTCAAAGAGAAAGTAATCACCCAGTGTGTGTGGGATAGAGAGGGGGGAAGCTAGCCAAATGTGGGATTCCATGGCTAGTTGTATCCGAAAAGTAGCAAAAGAGGTATTAGGAGAGTCCAAGGGCTTTGCTCCACACCAAAATGAATCTTGGTGGTGGAATGAGGAGGTACAAATAAAGGTGAAGGCTAAGAAGGAATGTTGTAAAGCCTTATACAAGGATAGGACTGATGAAAATGGTGAAAGGTATAGAAGAGCAAAGCAAGAGGCAAAGAAAGTTGTGAGAGAAGCTAAGTTAGCGGCTTATGACGATATGTATAAGCGACTAGATACCAAAGAAGGAGAGTTGGATATCTATAAACTAGCTAGAGCAAGGGAAAAGAAGACAAGGGACCTAAACCAAGTGAGGTGCATCAAAGATGAGGATGGAAAGGTTCTTGCTACAGAGAACGCGGTCAAAGACAGATAGAGAGGTTATTTTCATAATCTTTTCAATGAAGGACATGAAATGAGTACTTCTTTAGGGGAGTTGAGTAACTCAGAAGAGTGTAGAAACTACTCCTTTTATCGTCGAATCAGGAAGGAAGAAGTGGTTGTAGCTTTGAAGAAGATGAAGCATAGAAAAACAGTGGGCCCAGATGATATACCGATCGAAGTGTGGAAAGTCTTGGGAGAGACAGGTATAGCATGGCTCACTGACCTTTTCAATAGGATTTTGAAAACAAAGAAGATGCCAAATGAGTGGCGAAAGAGCACTTTGGTGCCTATCTACAAGAATAAGGGCGACGTACAAAATTGCATGAACTATAGGGGTATTAAGCTAATGAGTCATACAATGAAGCTCTGGGAGAGAGTCATTGAGCATAGATTGAGGCAAGAGACACGGGTTTCGGACAACCAATTCGGGTTCATGCCAGGGCGCTCAACCATGGAGGCAATCTATCTCTTATGAAGATTGATGGAAAGATATAGAGATGGGAAAAAGGATTTACACATGGTCTTTATAGATTTGGAAAAAACGTATGATATGGTCCCAAGAGACATTCTTTGGAGGATTTTAGAGAAGAAAGGAGTACGAGTAGCATATATCCAAGCTATAAAGGATATGTATGAAGGAGCAAAGACTGCCGTAAGAACTCATGAAGGACAAACCGAAAGCTTCCCCATAACTGTAGGATTACATCAAGGCTCATCCTTAAGTCCTTACCTTTTTGCGTTGGTAATGGATGAGTTAACAGGACATATTCAAGAGGATATTCCTTGGTGTATGCTTTTCGCAGACGATATAGTGTTGATAGATGAAACTCAGGAAGGGGTAAATGCGAAGCTTAACCTTTGGAGAGAAGTGTTGGAATCTAAAGGTCTTCGCCTAAGCCGATCAAAGACAGAATATATGGAGTGCAAGTTCAGTGCAAATGGAGGCCAAAATGAGTTAGGGGTGAGGATCGGAGATCAGGAAATACCAAAGAGCGATCGTTTTCGCTACTTAGGATCTATTTGCAAAAGAACGGAGAATTAGATGGAGATCTCAACCATAGAATACAAGCTGGATGGATGAAGTGGAAGAGCGCATCTGGCGTGTTGTGTGATCGTCGTATGCCACTAAAGCTCAAGGGAAAATTTTATAGGACGGCAATAAGGCCGGCGATGTTGTATGACACAGAAT